AATAAAAAAAATCAGAGTCAAAACAGAAGTTGGAGAGTAACCTACTTAAAAAACTGTTAGATACCAAGTTATTAGGATATTTCTAAAACATTCTAAAAGCTGAAACTGAAATTTCTGGTCTGAATCAGACAATTTCAAATTTCCTATGTCTTTCCCAGGAGTAAGTAACCCAAGTACTGCAGTACTGGCTCTTCTAGGGTGGTTTCCAGGCATCCAAATGCAAACTGAAGGGAAAAAAAAATAAAAATGGGAAGTTTTCACAGCCCTTCCCAGGCAATTCTGGTCCTATTTGTTTTGCTTTTTCTCATTCATTTGCCATTTGTTCCCTCTCATTACCAGCCTGCAAAGTCTACTCTAGTTTTCCCAATTTAAATTCAACAGGTTGCTGAGCAGTAGGAAAGATCTCAATATGCCAACAGAAATTGTGTTTGCTGTTGTCTCTTACTCCCTTCCCTTGCCTTTTGCCTTTATCAGTAAGCCTTGTAGGCTCTGTGGTTTTAGACTCTTTGTGGATTTATAATAAAGTCAGCAAATGAAAAGTCAAGTTTTTATTTTATCTTTAAAGGAAAATAAAAGTGTGTGATTTTAAAAAGGCATAAACCAACCCGTCACTACCTAATACTGCTGACAGAGATAACAGTCAAGCATCTACCAATTTTTTGGCTATAAAGGCAGTGGGTTAGTCAAGCACAGACAAGAAAGCACTAAAATGATGAAAAAACCCACCTCATGTAATCCAAAGGCTGCAAATTAAAAAAACCCCAAACAATAAAACTTTAAGGTGCAACCAGTTATAAAAGTAAGGCCTGCATAGTATCAGTTTCTCAAAACCCACCAATATCACTTTCATTAAAGCCTAATTTTCTTCCTCTTTCCTCTTTTTTTTCCCCAAAAATCCCAAACACATTGGCAAGGTGTTTCTCTCTCCAAAACAGCCTATCTCTGGATCAAACCCAGTACTCATATAGCAATATGCAATCCCTGGAAAGAAGAGGCTTAACAGAGGCTTTCCTTACCTGAGCTGACGATTAAAAGTAAATAATAATTGTAAGAGAAATGTAATGTGCTTATTTCCCTTCTATTGCCATTTAACTAATTTTTTTCCCAGCTTTGAAAAGCACCTCAAAAATTTATTATTTATTTATTTATTCAAAAATAAATAAAAGTTCAATTAAAGATAAGGAAGAACAAAGATGAAAAAGGCAAGGTGTTCATCACTCTGATTCTCACAGAGATTTTGACATGTACATCCAGGGGTAGAGCCTGACTCAAAATAAAACACTCTCATCGTTCTTGAGTGCGTGACAAAATCTGCACAGGATCTCATGGTGATGAATGGAATGAATATATAAATATATGCACATACTTATAGACAGCCATGTCTCTATATCCATAGCTACACAGATGTAGATGTAGGCAGAGAACAGCTCTGGGGAAGAGGGCAGAGGATAAATGGGCAGGGCACAGAATGGCACAGGGTTGTATAAATACCGTTTTCACCACTTAATTCCAGTGTGACAGAATGAGTCAGTAAATACTACCTTTTTAAATAAGCAATCGTATTAAAATAATAATTAAAATCTTTGTAAATGGCCTGAAAAGCTGCAAATAGATATTGTGTTGTAATATTAATGATCCACATTCATGTCTGGCATAAATTGTTTTAGCTTCATTGGCTCCACTGAATTTGGGCCCATTCCATCTTCTGAACTTCTCCTGCACAATTTGTACATGATGTACAGTTCCTAACATTGAAAATATGGTTTGTTTTGTTTTTTATTACTCACTAGTTTACTTACATTCCATAACAAAGACTCAGTCTTCAGTATTTAATCCCATTATTAACAAGCTGATATTGTCAAGATGTGCTTATTCTAGAGCTTCTAGCACTCAGTCATAATCCAAATTATATCAAAAAGTTCATTAAATATGGAATGCAAGTATTTACTGTGCCTATTATTAATCTATATAACTATGCTTTATACCTGTCAGTTACTCTGTTAAAAAATTATTAATAAAACATTTTTACAGAACCTTAGGTTGGAATTTTAGCTTAATAAAAACCCTGAAGATATTTTTTGGTTTGCTTCATAAAGAAATCTTAGAGATATGAAGAATTCTGCAAAATCTCTCCTTTACCAAAAAGAGACTTTAATACAAGAGTGCATCAAAATATTTTACCCTATCAAACTGAATGGACTATTTACTTTCTGTGAATTCATAATACCAGCTCATAGACTTTTTCAAATATGCTAAATTTACAATACTCATTCTATTGATCACTAATTGGGCAGTAAAAAATAAAGGGACTAATCAAAGCAGTTTTCTGATCCATTTTGTTTCTTCCACCTAAAAACCACAAGACACAAACAGGATCAATAAATTTGGAGAAAAAAAAAAAAAGAAGCAAACCTTACTGCATTATCTTCAAGTTGTAGAGGGCAAAAAACTCAAGGTACAACTTTCTAGTTGTAATCACAGTCACAAGAATCCACACTTCAGCTACAATTACCAATAAATCATTATTGGGAGTGTTGGTGGACAGCAGGATGCCCATGAGCCAGCAATGTGTCCTTGTGGCCAAGAAGGCCAACGCCATCCTGGGGTGGATGAGAAGGGGTGGTTGTAGGGCAGAGAGGTTCTCCTGCCCCTCTGCTCTGCCCTGCTCACACCACAGCTGCAATCTTGTGTCCAGTGCTGGGCCCTCAGCTCAAGAAGGACAGGAACAGCTTGAAAAAGTCCAGTGCAGAGCTACAGAGATGCTGGAGGGAGTGGAGCATCTCCTGCTGAGGAGCGGCTGAGGGAGCTGGGGCTCTTGAGCTTGGAGCAGAGGACACTGAGGGGTGACCTCATTCCTGGGGATCCATTTGGAAAGGGCAGTGTCAGGAGGAAGGAGCCAGGCTCTGCTCTGGGATGTCCAGTGACAGCACAAGGGGCAATGGTCCCAAGCTGGAGCACAGGAGGTTCAAGCTGAACATGAGGACAAAGTTTGTCAGTGTGAGGATGCCAGAGCATGGCCCAGGCTGCCCAGAGAGGTTGTGGAGTCTCCTTGTGTGGAGACACCCAAAGCCCTGGCCGTGTTCCTGTGTGACTGCTGTGGTGATCCTGCTGTGGCAGGGGTTGCACTGGGGGAGCTTTCCAGGTCCCTGCCAACTCCTGATATTCTGTGATTCAGTGATTATGAATGTTCAGCAAAAGAATTAATACTTGATTTTGGTCACTGGGATTTATGTGTGCACATAGGGCTTGGGGTCCGTATTAGGGCTAAAAGATAATGAGCTGGGGACAACAATAACACAATAAATAATATTAAATCCTCTAAACAGTTTTTTTTGCCGATTTCTGTGTTTAAAACTAACACAGAGGCTGCCAGAGCTACGAGAGATTTTTTTGCTTTTCCATCTCCTGGGGAGATGTCTCGTTGTTTTGTCCAAATGTTACATTTGTTGTGTTCTGAACTGGTGCATTCTCATTTGTTTCTCTGAAAATAATCTCGATGATTTTAAAGCCCAGATGAGCAAGTGCAATGTGGGGAAGGATCAGCTCAGACATTTTCGACACCTACACTATGTGCATCTATAGCATAGCTGGGCATTTGTAAAGCGAGTGGAGACCCAGCTCGTAAAGTCAATGCAATTCAAAGCATGATTCAGCCAAACAAATGTAGACTACTGCTTCAAGATGAGAGCACTTGCTGGTGCTGCCTGCAGTGAACAATTCAGGAGCACATAGCAACAGATAATACTGAGTATAAAGGAACCTAAAATGACCAGCTTAGTCGTAATCATCTGCACTTAGATGAATCCAACCCCTGCTCTGTGAAGGCAAAACCAGGTTAAAAAACAAACAGCGTTTCTTCCCAGTCTACCTACCTAGCAGACTTTTATGTTTATATGATCAATTTATTTTATATAATATATATTTTATGTAATCTAGCAGACTTTTATATGTTTTTATGAAATGTAATGTATTTTCAGTTGCTCAAATGTATTTTCAATGGAAAAATTGTTTTGTTGGGTAACACAACTTCAGTCACCAACAGGTACACTTACATGCACAGACCACAGAGCAATGTTTGCAATGATTTTCTAGAGACACATAATACCTAATCGACTGACTCATAAAGAACTTGAAGAAAAAGCTATGTGCTATTTACTCAAATCTTTGAAACTTTGATGAAGTAGACTAGCCTTGATGGGTTACTGAATCTCTTCTCTTACACAACCCTTCTCAATATGAGTTCTGCAGTAGCACTCAATAGAGAATAATTTTAAAAAAATCATAGAATCATAGAATGGTTTGGGTTGGAAATCATGATCATTAAATTGTTTGTTTATATCTTGTTTTCAAGCATAGTTCTCTGAAATCTGTAATTCATACGAGAACCTAACTGAAACTTTTAAGTGTTTTAATACTGAGCAATATGATTCTGCCCCTCTGCTCTGCTCTTGTGAGACCCCCACCTGCAATACTGCATCCAGTTCTGGGGCTCCCAGTATAAAAAGGACATGGAACTGTTGGAGCGGGTTCAGGAGGCCACAAAGAAGATCAAAGGGCTGGACCATCTCCCCTATGAGGACTGACTGAAAGAGCTGGGGCTGTTCAGCCTGGAGAAGAGAAGGCTCTGGGGAGACCTTCTAGCGACCTTCCAGTTCCTGAAGGGGTCCTACAGGAAAGCTGGGGACGGACTTTTTACAACGGCATGGATTGACAGAACAAGGGGTAATGGTTTTAAACTGGAAGAGGGGAGATTTAGACTGGATATTAGGAAGAAATTCTTCCCTGTGAGGGTGGTGAGGTCCTGGCCCAGGTTGCCCAGAGAAGCTGTGGGTGCCCCCTCCCTGGCAGTGCCCAAGGCCAGGTTGGCCAGGGCTTGGAGCAGCCTGGGCTGGTGGAGGTGTCCCTGCCCATGGGGGTTGGACTGGGGGGGCTGTGAGGACCCTTCCAGCCCAAACCATGCTGTGATTCTATGATTCTATTAACATCTCAAGCAAGCTTACCAGTTTCGGAGAGCAGTTTGGTAGCTTCCAGTACCTTCTCAGTATAAACTCCAGTTTCGTAGTTTTCCATCTCTGCATTGATGATGTGAATAACTCTGGCTGCACGGCCTCGGATGGCACCCGCAGTTCTGTCCAACGTATCGACATCCCCCTCTTGGAGAGCAATCACACATTTATTCACATCTTCCAGAATGTGGTTTTCTAGAATGTAGGAAAAAATAAGGTTCATTTCATTTTGTTCTCCCTCATAGCAAAGCTATTTGGGTAAACAGCAAATGTCAGACTGTTAAAAAATTGATATCTGTCCTTATCGTGTTCTGCAAAACTATTACCATTCTGTGATACTGTGCCATACAGCAGTAAAAATCCCAAGTGGGATACTTATATTTAAATGGGACCGGGCTACATCTTCTCACCTATACTGGGAGTACCAACTTGTAATGCTTTGAAAAATAGTCACATTAATTTCAATCATCACACTGAATTTTATTATAATGGAAGCGTAATAAAAGTCAATGCAAGAAGAAAAGCTGTCAAATATGATGCAGATGCACTAACAAAGAGTTGGGCAATTTTCTCGAGATGAATTTACACATCCCTCTAAACACTTAATAGATTTGGTTCATTTGCGCCTAAGTAAGTTAGAAAAGAAAATAAACCATTTTGAGAAGACAGCAGCAAATGGCCTCTGAAGATAGCGGGGAGCTGGGTGTGAGCAGTTCATCTCCTTTACGCCGTCTCTACCAGAGATTAAGCTGTGAATTTTTCATGACACCCAGCATAATCATATGTGACTGCGCATATTCTGAAATAAGAGTAGACAACAGCGAGTCTGCTCAGAGGATATAATATCAAGGTTTATTGAAATTTTGGGCACTACATTATGTTTTCTCAGCTCAGAATCAGGCCATTTACTCTCACGTGCTGCAGTATCTTAGTTTATGAAATATTCTCACATACAGATAATGTCAAAGGATGAAGCAGATTTTGACTGGCTCAGACACTATTTCCTTGCAGCCAGTACAGTTAAAAATCATTTCACTAATAAAACTATGCTTGAACTTTATGTTTGAGCAAACTCAGAGACTCTAAACAGCAACTTACTTTTCTGCCACAGACACATCTAAAACGAAATGTTGTTCTTTGCAGTAGTAATAAATAAACCAGAATCAATCAGTTCACCAACTGCTTTTTGTTAATTATCCTTGGCCACAAAAACAGAACGATACACTAATCTTCACTGTTAAAAATCCCAAGGCTGGATCATTTGAGGTTTCAGAAATGTTTTACATGATGTCAAATTTTAAACTGTAACAACTCTGAATGAAAAATGAAAGTCCCTTGAGCTGTTAATCAGAGTCACTTGCATCACAAAATTCTGTTTAAAAATCTCTCTATCCACACTTAAAAAACGTTTCTTTGCAGAAGTATTTCTTCATTACTTCCTCCTCATCATTGTAATTTTTCTTACTGTGGCACAGCCAAATTTTGCACAACAAGAAATGCTATATGAATGCGAACAGATAGTGCATTTGAAATATAAAGTAACTGATTAAAATTATGGTCAGCCTTCTTTTGGTAGCCACCGTATTAATAAAATATGCCATCAAATGTGACACTCAATATGAAGAGGAGGAGGTGTCATTTCATGAGGTACATTTAACCAGACGCTAGCCCGTTTGCAATGCTTCGCTGGTTTAACATCCAAAAATAAAACGACTCTGTTTAAGCTGAGACTTCCAAGCTCACAGCTAGGAGCAACAGGCTTTCTGGATACATGACACATCATCTCATTTTAAATAGAGATGTCTATGGACAGTATTAGAAAAAATCTAAAGCCTAAACAAATATGACTTCTCAGCTGCCTTGGAAAGCTTGGATCTAAGTCAAGACAATGTTAGAAGAAAATATGATTTGAGAAAAACAAAAAATATAAATGTCATCCATTCAAATAACTTCTGGTTTTATGGAAACAAGTGTTTGGAGTGAACAAAGTCCTCAAACAACCAACCAAGTGGCCATTTGAGCAAGTTTGCCATCTCTTTGGCTTGTGGACTGGGTTTGCTCTTTACAGCTTGGTCTGCCCTCTCATTATAGAACCAGATCTGTTGAGAAGTGTTTACCAGCTTCGATTCTCAAATGAAAATCCATGTGCTACCTTTTAGTGTGAGAGTTCGTGTTCATTTTCTAGTCCTGGTGTGCAGTAAACACTCTAGTAGTGATGTTGAACAGTAGACTGCAATTATACTAAACCAAACCATTGCCTTTTACTAATAATAGCAGGTTACAACCAAACAAAATAAAGGGGAGGGCAAATAAGAAAATTAAGGATTTTTTTTAAAGGATAAATATATTTTTTTCTCCAAACATCCTAAAATTCTATTAGGAAATTTAGGAAACATCAAAGAAAAGAATGTAGAATGGAAGATAAAATTAAGACCAAGTTATCTCCAATTTGGCTACTCTATAATGTTAGAATAAGCTAAGCACGCTCAGCAAACTCTATGTCCTTATTCACATTCACCTCTTCCAAACCTTAATAGGAAAATCAGTTTTCTTCAGCAGACAATTAATCAAAGACATGCAGCACTTGGCAGTTATGATTATCATCATGTATGACTATATTAAAACAATACACTCTGCCACAAGTTGTAGCACTTTACAAAGAAGATGGAGAAAAGACCGTGATCTGAAGAGTTAATATCCTTCTCTTCTTTATGTAAGGGCTAAGATACTTTGTCTATTTTTGTAGAAGAGCTTTGCATTGCCATCCTTCCTAGCAAGGTCAGAGAAGTACAAATATTTTTTTAACACTATTTTACTATTACTCTCCGTTCAGTTGCATTGTTACACCAAGAACTCTGGGACCCAGAACTGCTTCCCAGCTCTCTGCAAACATATGCACTGGTCATGTCCTGACAATATACCTAGATGGGACTCATACACATCATCTGCCTATTTCCCTTCTTCCGAT